TACTGTTGTTCATTACAACCCATTTGATAGCCGATCATAAATTTTGATAACAGGAATAGTTTTACATGTACTTCGTAAATTATAAAAGAAATTAACATTATAATCCCCATGGAAATGTGATTTCATCTTAAAGCATAAGTTTTTTTTTTGTTTTTGTTTTTGTTTTTTTTTTTAACGTTTTATCATTACCATTTACTTATCACTTGAGATGAAGTATTAGGTGGGAATGAAATTTTATAGAGAAAAATGGACAATTTGGGATTTTGGGGTTAACTACTATTACCATGAAATTAAACCTTGATTTTCCTTACAAATTTACATACAAATTCATTCTCATTACCAACATATATGGGCACCTACCAAACTGATCGTCAAATCTTTGTTATAGTTCTTTTTTCACTAAATGTGATAGTTGAAGGACGTTGCTAATCTCGGTTTACTAAAAAAAGGTTTATTTTCCCTTTAATTGACTCTTGCGTCTGAATTTTATTTTACTATGTACAAATTATTATTAGGGTTTTTCTGTACATTATAAAGATTAGCTTTTAAATTGAATTGTTTTAAAATTATTTAAATAGACTTTTGTATGAGTTGTTATGTAACTTTTGGAATCATGTATTGTTTTGAACTACTAACTTGAGACCTAATTCTCTTCACCTTAAAAATTTAATATTCAGTAATAATAATTTCAATTCACTAAAAAAAAGTTTTTGTATGACAAAATTTTGTTTGAAACACAACTTTTGCAACAACTTGAAAAATTGAACAATAAAATACTTCAATACTCATAAGATCTAAGCATAGTTATGAAAACTAAGTCCCCCATTTATTACTTCTTATATATGCCCTTGTAGCTCACTCGAGCCTATGGAAAAAAAATAAACTTGGTAACTTCAAAAAGGTAATAGCACAATAGTCTTTGTAACTATGATAAAACTAGATTCGAAATCAATGCTCAAGTGCGAAAAAAAAAAATTACATTTTAAAAATTTGTACAGGCAAGAGGCAACAGTAAACTATTGACTTTTCTTCAATGAAGGATAAGGAGATTAAGAAGATACTGCTGTTTTCCCTCATATAGATATCAAATTTAGCTGAGATTGAGCACTATTAACTAGCAAAACCTATTCAAGATTCAATCATTAATATTTACTTTGGCAGAAATCGCAGGCAATAGGATGGTCAGATTAAATAAAAAGATTAAACCAATCAATTACACAAAAAGTCTACCCCAAGAAACAAGAAGAAAAATACTAGCTTAATTCCATCAATAGTTCACTACTTAAATTAGTAGGCTTTCTAATCTCCACCTAATCACACCTTCCTACTTCTCTTATCAACTCTAGACATTTATCTGAGTGTATAACAAATTCTCTACTTCATAAGCGAATTCGTTATCATTTCCATGCCAACAAGAGGCATCAGCTGTATCATCTACTGCAACCCCGAAGAAAGGTTAAATCTGCAAAAGAAGCAATTGAAAGGAACTAGTTTCTTCAACCATTCAAAGCACCCTGCAACTAAGAGGGATACTTAGCTGCAACTGCTGGCTCATCAACCTTGTCTCAGTTTGAAATTGACGATACCTTTGGGACATCCACAGGAAACAAATGGATCTCATCCATCCACGGGTTTTGCTCTTTTTCGGGATTCACTCCCCTCAGAGCTCTCCAGACTGCACTATTACACTTGAAACCAGAACCAAACGCAATCTGCCATATTCTATCTCCCCTCCTAACCCTCCCTTTAGCTTCAGAATAAGCCAGTTCATACCACAGGGAGCTGCTTGAGGTATTCCCAAATCGATTGAGTGTCATCCTCGAAGGCTCCATATGCCAATCAGAGAGCTGCAGGTTCTTCTCTAACTCGTCAAGAACAGCCCTTCCTCCAGCATGAATGCAGAAATGCTCAAAAGCCAGTTTGAAATCTGGGATGTAGGGCTTTAGTTTCATCTTCAAGAGTTTTTTTCCTATCAGAGTGGCAAAGAAAAGCAACTGTTCTGACATAGGAAGCACCAAGGGGCCTAGAGTAGTGATATTAGTCTTGAGGGCATCTCCTGCAACAGCCATCAAATCCTTTGACAAAGCAACTCCAACTTTTCCCTCGGGATCCTCTTCTTGGGTAACACAAGTGAAGCACTTATCATCAGAACCTTTGTGGGTTCGGACAGTGTCAACAAGCTGATACTTGGACCGCCATCTATCAGATCTCTTGTTTGAGAGTAGAATCGCAGCTCCTCCCATCCGAAACAAACAGTTAGAAACCAACATCGATCTCTCATTTCCAAAGTACCAATTCAAGGTTATGTTCTCCGTGCTAATGACCACAGCATAAGAATTGGGATGGACTTGTAGAAGATTCTTGGCAAGATCGATTGAAATCAATCCAGCGCTACAACCCATTCCACCAAGATTATAACTAACAATGTTGCCACGCATCTTGTAATGGTTAACAATCATTGCAGACAATGATGGAGTGGGATTAAACAAACTGCAATTCACTACCAGTATCCCAATGTCCTTAGGTTTCACATTCGTTTTAGCAAACAGCTCATCCAGGGCTCCAAACATCACCATCTCAGCTTCCTTCCTAGCCTCCTGCATACACACATTAGGAGGATCGAGAAGAACAGATTCTGGAAGGTAAGTATCTTCACCAAGTCCTGATCTCTCGAGTATCTTCCTTTGAAACTCAAGGTTTTCCTTTGTAAACGTACCAATGGAACGAGACCTATCCATGAAAATCTGCCTCGTGCACTTCCGAGAATCATCAGGTTTGTAACACGAAAAATTCACGAGGTACACAGGGCTAGGCCGAGTAAGGAAATAAAGGGTAGCCAAGAAAACAAACAGGGTCGAGCATACAATCACCGATATTAAGTTGAAGCGAAGATGCTCCCAAAGGACATAGACATCTTCCAAAGAGAAAGTGGAGAGTTGGGCAGCAATGACAACAATAAGAGGTGATAGGAACAGATACATTCCATGGGTAATGAGGTAATGGTAACCCAATTTGACATATTTCAACTTAATAGATTGCTTAAAATCAGGAAGCTTTCTTGAATTTGAATTGGGCATTAAGGGGGTGGCAGGATTTTGTTCACTCATAACTTCTTCAGCAACAATTCAATTTACTCAATCAGATCAAAAATACATTAATTTGGGCCCCTGAAACAACAAATTATTCAGAATTACTCCCTGAAAAGTAGAACATGATCATATTTAGCTAACTGGGTATATTTGAAAATGCAAAATTTTGGCTGATTATTTAAAGTCTAAACCCTAAGATTGTTATAGATTTATTAAAGAGAAATAAAAATCCATTCTTTATAATAAAGAAAATCACCTCAAATTCAGGAACTGGGTGTCAGAGAACAACGGATTACCTGTAAAAATAAATACAAAAACCAAGAATTAGAGAAAATCGATAATGTTCTATGTTACTCAGACTCAATTTCACACACGGGTACATGTTCAATTGTCCGACTAATTATATGATAAGCTTCAATAAATTTGCCAAAAACTAAGTGTCGATAAGGCCATAAAACCTATTAAAGAGTCGAAGATCCAACACGGGTACTTAAAAAGCTGACATAAAGACCCCAACTAACAATTCTACTTCAAACAATAGTTTACTTTTTTTTTATCGGGATCAATAAACAACCAGATTGTCAACCAAAGCTTAAACAGATTAGATCTGACTAAACAAGCATGAAATTAAAAGTGAGATTATAATGCAAAATAAATGAAACTCAGAAAAGGAAATCACCTGAAATTGAAGATTTTGAGATGAAAAAAGTCGACTTTTTCTCCTTCAAAATTCGGAGAAACCAAAGAAACGTGAAAAAACAGAATGAGAGAAGTAAGAGTGTTTTTTTTTTATAATTCAAATGAAGGATGTTTGTATATATATGTAATGCAGCCTGTAATGCTGTAATACGTAGAAGAACAGTGTGTATAAGATTATAATCTAATAATCTTTATATTATATTAAAATCATATGATGTCTTTTCTCCGTTTCTATTTAGTTGACGCGTTTGATTTAGGCACATATATTAAGGGGAGAAAATAGTATGAGAGAGAATGAAAAAATAAGTGGGGTAGCTTGTAAATACATGGTAAAAAATTTACCCAAAAAAGAAACGTGACAACTAAAAAAACTTCTAAAAAAATAATATGAGACGAATCCAATAAGATCTCACTTGACTATATTTTGCTTAACGTATAGCTCATATTATATGGTCAAACAAGAGTGATGAATAGTGTAAAAAGTCCATTATTGCAATATTAATAGAACGGAGGAATTATGTGTCATCTAAAAAAAACTGAAGTAGTATAACGATTAATATAATGTGTAACATTATTTAGCATATGATACCATGTGAATAAATATGATGCAGAACGGCAGAAAGGTGGGACCAAACTACCAGACTGTAGGGGACTGTTATTTTGGGAAATTGGAATCTAAGTTGGCGACTTGTTTGGTTGGTGAAGAGCGGTTTAAAGCAAAAAAAGAGCGGCTTGGATTGGTCAAACAGCTGATTTATATACCTTTAGCAAAGTCATTTTGGAAACGCCCTTTGAGCAGCGTTTTGAGATTAGCATTTTTTTTTTAATAATAAAAAAGAAAATTTGTCAATTGCAACTGATAAAAGTATTCATTTTGCGAGTTTCAATCATCAAAGTTTATTTATGCAAATTACAACCAAAATTTCACCAAACATTTTTAACTACAACCAAAACCCGATTGATTCGGCCACTTTCATTGGAATATGTAGAGTATACGACGGAGTAAAAGGGCATAGATGCTGTCTTTCATGAAGAAGGGATGTGTCCTTAACCATCTGAAGCTGAATGGAAAAATTCTTAAAAAAAAGAAAAGATAAGATCCAACATCCAAACCAACTTTCGTTGATGACACGGTTGTAAACATGTTTTCTACAAGTCTGCAACATGTTAGCACGCAGGGACCAACAGTTCAAACAAGAAAAAAAAAGTGTGTAGTATGAAATTTCCTAGTTTGTATATATCAGGCTGAAAACGATGGATACAAAGAAATTTTTTCACAAGTACGTTGTATATTGGAGAATTGTTAGCCTCACACCACCAGTACATTTGGTCATGAACCGTGGACATATTTTCTACTGCCTTTTAGATTGATGACTGATAATTAGCTTGCAGCTTCTGAATCCTCTATACCTACTACATTCATCAGCTATACCAATCAAGAAATAAGATTGCGAAAGTAAGTACAACAAAAAACAGCCAAAGAAACACTCTGCTACTGCTGTTTCGCTGTATGGCTTGAGTAAGCTCTTTGTTGCCAAGCACCATATTATGCGTTGCTTCAACTGCCTGAATAGACAAAAAATAGCAAATGGTGTGTAAATACAAGGTTTCTCAGATGATCTTATAGACATAATACCTAACACAGTTGTTTGTGATGACAATTAAATAACAGTAGACATAAAAAAAAAAAAAAAAAAAAAAAAAAAAAAAAAAAAAACACCAGAACTCAAATCTTCCAAATCAAATGGCTTTTAGTACAGTTATTTTTTAGATGAGAGTATACATCACTGAAGATCCACCCAAAAGCAACTCAAGATCCCTATTTGTTGGGGTAGAGTTTGCTCATGAGTTTCTCTCTCCTCCTGAGAGCTACATGTACGTGCTCTGACATCACCCTGGTGTCGAGCTATTTTTCCATACGACCTCCCCAACTTGTCGCCACAAAAGGAACCACAGAAGTTCAAGGAACTAAGGGACACAGATGAAATATGAACCATGATCGTTAAACTTTTCAATGTTCATGAAAAAAATAAATTCACATGAACAGTTGGTTCAAGCCCTTCAAGGGCCTTATATGAACATGAAACTTGGACCATGGTCATATTAACCATGGTAAAAAGCAAATTAATGGAATGTGCAAGTTCTACTTCCATCATACGGCAATAGCTGTTAACAATTTGAATATATATAATACGTACAGCATAATTTGAGGGCTTTAAATATTAATGCACAACACTTTTATACATAAAACTTAGGCCTAATAAGATGCACTTTGATATGCCATGGGTACTGGCAGTAATGAAAAAAATGCTCATCTAAATTGCTCTACTTTGATGGAGCAATTTATGTCTTTGGTTTACTAAATATCACAGATTTGCAAGAAGTTCGATTATAACAAGGAAAAATATAAAAGCTGCAAATCATACTATGATTACAATATGAGGTCAAGATAGATTTGGGAATTGGAACAAAAAAGATGACTTTTCACTTTAACATATCAGTGATGATCAGAAACTCAGAATGCCTTCCATAGACGACACAATTACACAGTTGTTATATTAGATTTGGAAATTGGAACAAAAAAGATTACATTTCACTTTAACATACTGGTGATGATCAGAAACTCAGAATGCATTCCATAGATGGCACGATTACACAATTGTTAAATTTAACTAAAGACCAAAAATTCGTTGCTCGGTTTTAGCAAAAACACTTTAATTTCAAGGTCCATCAACTATGATAACAAATCTCACCTGATCGTATAGATACTCAATCTGATGAACTTGCTGGAGAACATGTGTAGACATGAGGTGATTCAGTGCAGACATCTCCACCATTTTGGTTTCAGTTTCTTGAGCAGCATCAAGGAGATTACTCAGCTCCACCTACATTAACTTTTTTTGTTATTCTGATGAATTCTGCAGCCAAATACTAACTATAAAGTGTGTATTGATACTATTCAAAGTATCATGATGCATATGCAACTTATAACCTGAAGTGCACGAGTGTCATCATCCAAAAGCTGTTCTTGGACTCTTTGGGGACTTGGTTCCACTTCATCAGGTTCTGTGGCCTCTGGATGTTTTGATTTCAAACGATCTGTTGAAATTTTATCGGGGACACGGCTTCTTTTTCTTCTGGGCATTGTTCTATTAAGTGTATCTTGGAACCGTATAGCTCTCAGCCGATCAAATTCTGATGTAACTGAATGAAGCTTTTCACTCAAAATCAAAACCTGTATATTGTTTCAGAAATAAGGGATTAAGGGAAATGTGCCAAACCTAGAAAACAAAGGAATTATCTTCTTTACAAAGAAAATTCGCAACAATGTAGATGCCACACAATGCAACCATAATAATTTAACTTCCAACTGTGTCAGTTTAGTTAATCGACTAAATCTAAGTACTTGTAACATTTAGCTGCCATAATGAATCAGTAACTTTTAATCCACATTCTTCACATCAAACAACCAATAGTGGGACATGATTCACTTGCCAGTGAGTAAACCATACAAAATTGATTGGCAGTTGTGAGATCTTACTGCTCAAGACATAAAAACAGGAACGGTAGTCATACACCAATAACAAAGAGGGAATTCTTAAAAAGAAAAGGGCAACCTTGCAAAGGAACTGATGCATAAAAGGAGAATGTCCAAAGGCTATGTTCTTTTTACCTTAAGAAATTAAGTTTCAGGAAAAATTTATAATTTCCAATACTTTCCAACAGCTAATACCCAAGTTCATTTCACAACAACAGAATATTCTAATAAGTTCGAATCATTTCCAATAAGTTTGATGAGTAATTTCCAACAGAAAAAAAGTTGCTCTTATGGTATATCAATTTGCGAACAGGTATACAATAACTGACTAACACACAAATTAACTATCCTCATTATTTTTCATCAAGCCTAATAAGTTAGATTATCTCATCTACTTGTTGAAGTTGGGCCACTGAGACATGACACATCCGTGATCCATTAACAAACCAAGGAGTGAAGGACATAAAAGCATAACACAAATATAGGAAACAGCACAACAAAATTTGCTTCTTGATTTAAGGTAGCTAAACCTAGAGACATATCCACATTCTGAACTCAGAAGGTCTCATGAAAGAATGGAGGAAAAGCACCAATACCAGCAAAGCCAAAACCCAACCCCACCTCAACACGCACCATACTGAGCTAGTTAGCAGGATAAGAAACTAACTACAACCATCATAAATCACATACCACACCATGTTTATGTGCAATAATATCAGCATTTGAACCATCTGTATTCATACTAAGCCAGCCCTTCGAATTGGCTTCTTCATCACTTATACTGGCTTTTAGAACCTCTATCTGCTTTTGACACAACTTAACAAAAGAAGTAACCTGCAAAGAACAAATTTCAAATGTCAAAGAACTCAATATCAATACTAATTACCTTCTCAATGAACTTGATAAGGTTTATTGGTCAAATGATCAGATATACAATCATGACATAAATAATATGTGACTAATGTGCTCATCTCGAAAACAAAAGCGTGGATAATTTCAGAGATTAGAGTGAACACATTGACGAGTATTTGTACAACAATTTATAGTTAGGCATAAGTCTCTATGTGATAATGTAATAGCAGATAAAGACAAGTGAAACAGTCTTGTAGTAAGTTTTTAGACTTTTGGATGAGCAATATATATAGTGCATTGTTGTTGCCTTAGTATCATTAGTAGCTAGACAAATTGAAGCTCAATTTAAGCTCTTATGATTAAGGTAAGCGATGGTAAATCCCTTGGTACAAGATCAAGGTTATTTTGTTTACTAGCTGTTGATGATCAATTATAAATTGCCAAGGTCTTACATTTTTCCAATGGTAATTGTGAAATTCAGCTTGGTAGGTTTGTAATTATTTGAAAGATTAATGTGCTTCACTTAGATAACATTGAATGGATTAGCTTGAAAGCTTAGAGGGTATGAATTGAGGAGCATTGTATAACGATATATAGAGAGATTAAACAAAGAATCAGGCAAATATTGCCGTGTTGATGGCTAATTATGAAGAGCAAAGGTCTTATATGTTTCTGAAGGACAGTTATGTTTCTGAAGGACAGTTAACTGTATGAAATCCCAATATTTATCAAAAAAGCTTCATCTTTATCAAGTTTCTGTCTTTCCTCTTGTTTATTTGTTGCTGTGCTCATTTTAATTACAGAGAAGAGCTCAAATTTGTTACCTTTGGTCCAAACACGAGCAATTAACATTTAAACCACTACCACACACTTATTAATCTAAATAAAGTCAAAGAAAATCAAACAAATTTGACATAGCCATGGTAAAGTATGAGGTTAGAATCAATCAATTTGTTCAAGACTTACGACTTAACATGCTGCCACAAGTACCTGAATGTTCAATAAATTATAGATAAGCCGAACACAAAACAATACTTATACACAATAAGTCCAACATAAAGATAGCTTAGAACTTACTTCCTGCTCAATGCTATCTCTCTCTTGTTCAGTAGTCCGATGCATATCAACATAATCGCGCTTATGTTTCATCAAATATTTTTCCAACTCTCCAATGCTCTCAAGCTATAAATTAAAAAACGCCAACCAAATCAACACATTACAGCATTGCAATGCATCAAAAATGTTTGTCCAATCAAATCAAACGCCTCGAAGATTAAATTGATCATCTTACTGTTTTCAACGAAGATTTCATGAACGGAGTCCTTTCGCGAGGCTTGTGTATTATGAATGACGCCATTATAGCAGCAATTTTAGACTAACACACCAAAATTGAAAGTTGATAAGAATTAAAATTCATTCAATCAAGATACAATTATAATCTATATTATGATAATTAAAGTAATTCCAATACAATCAATCATCAATAATTTGAATTTGACCTAAAATAGAGAATTGGGAAATGTACCTCGTTGTAATCGAAAGAAACGGCTTGACGGCGAACAGCATCTTTGAAATCCTCAGTCCTATCCCTAATTTTCGCCATTGTTGGATCATACAACACAGCAGAGGAAATTTGTATGATTTGAACTCAATTTGATAAAAGATGAAGTGAATTTGCAGCGATTTGTACAGAATATCCAAGGAATTTCAGCAAATTGATGAGAGAGTATTATTTACGATTCGAAATTTTGAATTGAAGCAAATTAGTAGAAATTTCCAGAAGTAGAGAGAAGAAAAGATTTTGGAGGGAGAAAAGGTGAGTTACGACAGCGGGTGTTAGAACGCGCCGCTGCAGATCGAAGAGAGGACTTAGACAGGGGAGATACGATCTGAAGATTACCACGTTATTTTTACAGTAATAACAGTATACTTGTACGAGTAGTCATTGTATAATTTGATGGATTTAGAGTAGAGCCGGAGAAAGCTGACACGCGTGAATTAGAAACAAAAAGGTCGAGTTAGTGTCAAAGGTTTACGAGACATTAAATTAAATGGGTCAACACGATACGCACATTTAGCTAAGTAGGTCGGGTTATTGTTGAGAATTCCAACACATAACTAACAAGAATCAACTCACTTAAGGAAAAAACAAATCAATAATTTATGAATTTTATGATATATCTTTATAATGGGATCATCATTTACACTTATAACACGACAACACGATGGTCAAGATCGTACCGGATACAAAAAGGTGTGACGTAAAACAATTAACAAACATGTGGCAAAAACTGGGGAGAAAAAGATCGAGTCAAGATCTATCTCATTACCTTTACAATAATAAATCTAGTTATCTACCAAGCTTTAGAATTGATGGGGAACTCACCTTGTGACTTTGAAGTCACAAATTCGAGCCCTACCAACTACATTTTCTTGGGAGTAAGAGAATTCCCATACTTCCTCTACTCTCAAATTTGACCTGTGAAGTTGGGTTGGCTTAATCTGTAAAAGGTGTCGATTCAGTAGGGTTATTAACTAAACACGAACTCAAAAAAAAAAAAAAATATTGGCTTTGACATTTTTTTTTCGAGTTTGGCCGTGAGGTTTCATACTAAGGTTCGGCCCAATCCAAATTTTACTCCCCTTTGAGTTAAGTGCAATTAAGAATTATGAATGTGACTGTAAGAGTTGACCCCAAAACTAGTGGCTAGTGTCTGGTTGTGGCTCTAGGTTGGAGTGATAGTATTTGGGGGCATTTGCTACTGCAGCAAACAAACTACAGAATACATAGAGTATCAACTTGAGTACGCGACCTAAAAAATTATCGGGAGATAGGCTTTTTTTTTTTTTTTTTTTTAATTACTCCCTCAATCTCTTACTCTCTTATAATCTTTCCGTTTTGACCTTTTTTCACTTATAAAAAGATTTTAAATGTAATGATATGGAATAATTAAATGTTGTTAAATTAACATTAATGTGTGTGTATATATATATATATATATAAGTAAGGTTAGTTTAAATAAATTCAAATAAATTAGATTAATTTTAATAACAAAAATTAATAGAACACAATAATTACGTTGCATGTCTTTCAAAAAGAAGAAAAGCAAATGGGCAAGATTTTGGGCATAAGTGAAGTTTTAGATTGATAATAACCTAGATTTATTTTGAATTAAAAAAAATCTACTGTATCATAATATGAATTGTGATTAGAAATTGAGGGTGTTACACTAGAGAGTTTAGAGTCAGCATGAATCAACAAATTAAATTTGACCCCTTTGACATTTCAAACGACTATGAACACATATTTATGTCCATAGTGGTCACACATCCATGTTCTTAGTGGTCATGGAAATTTATGAAAATTTTGTAAAATAAACAATTATCAAAACTCTTGGACTAAGAATAAGTCACACTAAAGAGAAGTGCCAAATCTAATTAATTTCTTTGTGAATAAAAATGGGTAAAAATGGATGTATGTTAAACAATATATTGAAAAGATGAGACAATTATTATTTAGGGTGACAATACATTATTAGTTCAATTAGAATTTGATTATACTCATTCCAGTAATATCAAGTGATAAGTTATTGAATTTATATCGAGACTAACGGTAAACTTATAAGTAATAATTGAGCATGTGTTAGGTTAGTTCTCCAAAATTGTGCTTATGTGCAATTATCCACTATCAAAGATGAATAAAATTGTGGATGTCAATTGTTTTTGTTGGTTAAAGTCTTAAAATATACTCCGTACCACCTAAACACATGAAATTAAATCTCATCAACGACCTTCATCACTTCATGTCTTGCAAATAATTTGAAATTGAGGTCTACATTATTGATTTATTGCCCGTATGACTCTTTGCGTTATTGACCTTATTAAACCATTTCTACTACCTTCATTTCATAGACTACATTATTGCCTTGATGACTCTTTGGCTCTTTGCGTTTATATCATTGTCTTTATTGCTCCCTTCACAAATAAAATTGAGGATTTTTTGTTTAAAAAAGACAGCTACGCTACTAAAGTGGGCCAAGGAAAATGACATGTACATTTGCTTCAGTAATTAGATTACCAAAATCAGATAAGATAAGGCCCAAACTACCTCACCCGTTAGATAGATATTCTCCCTCAATCCAACGCCTTACAAGTGCCCACATTAGATAGCCCATCACCCAAACATCAGAAATAAAACACCCCACCAAAAACATTTCATACCACTAAACCATACACTTCTCAGTCCTAAACTCTCAACACACCTCCCATAACCACCACCAATCCATCTAAACAAGTAAATAAAATCAAACATGGCTTCGGCCTCGGCCTCCGCTGCCGCCACCTCATCTTTCATCGGGACTCGTCTTCCTGACGTGCCATCCAACTCAGGAAAGGTCACGTGCCGATTCGGGTTTGGAACCAAGAAAGTAGCCAAGAAGGCCCAGCCCAAATCAGGCTCAACATCAGACCGCCCATTATGGTACCCTGGTGCCAAGGCCCCAGAGTATTTAGATGGGACCTTAGTGGGTGATTATGGGTTCGACCCATTTGGGCTAGGAAAGCCTGCTGAGTATTTACAATATGACTATGATGGTTTGGACCAGAACTTAGCCAAGAACTTGGCTGGTGACATTATTGGGACCCGGACCGAGTCGGAGGATGTTAAGTCCACAGCTTTGCAGCCATACAGTGAGGTTTTTGGGCTTCAGAGGTTCAGGGAGTGTGAGCTGATTCATGGCAGATGGGCTATGTTGGCTACTCTTGGTGCTCTGACTGTTGAGTGGCTTACTGGTGTCACCTGGCAAGATGCTGGCAAGGTAAGTATAATATGATTTCCTGAGTTTGTATTCATTGTTCAGAGAAATGTCTTGCTTGGTTGTCTAAAATGATTTTACTATAAGGAAATTTGTAGAATGATGAAATCTAGATGTTTTAACAGGAAATCATACTAGACACATATGTACAATTTCAGATCAAAATGATGATTGTTTCAGGTTAAAGTTGCATATTAATATTGGTTCTGAAAGTTAATATAAACACTTGTTTTTAGAAAAGTTGGTTAAAAATAAATGGAAAAAAAAGAAAAAAGAAAAAAAGAAATAGGCTAATGAAACAAGTGAGAAAGATGGAGTGAAAGCTACAGTAGTTTTGTAAGAAAATGGTGGATATAATACTTTGTAAGAAATAATGAGTGGAAAGAGTTAAATAGTACAGCAAAAAAAAAAATTACCGAGGTAAAAGGGGTTTGCCAAAAATAAATAATCTAAGTATAAATGAGTTGAATTTTGAACACCTTAAAGTAGAAAGTGAGTTGAACTTTCAAGAATGAATAAAATACAAATTCGTAGTATTAACGGGTAGTCTTTATGCCTTCTTTTTAAATTTAATTAATTTTTTTTTACTGTAGCACTACTGGGGAAATACTTAAATTTCTCTTGACAATTACTTCTGTGATTAAATTTTATAGGTGGAGCTGATTGAAGGATCATCATACCTTGGCCAACCACTTCCCTTTTCAATGACCACATTGATCTGGATTGAGGTGTTGGTCATCGGATACATCGAGTTCCAGAGGAATTCAGAGCTTGACCCTGAAAAGAGGCTTTACCCAGGTGGAACCTTCGACCCATTGGGCTTGGCATCTGACCCGGAAAAGAAGCCGATCCTTCAGTTGGCAGAGATCAAGCATGCCAGGCTAGCTATGGTTGGTTTCCTTGGCTTTGCTGTTCAGGCTGCTGTTACCGGTAAAGGCCCGCTTAACAACTGGGCGACTCATTTGAGCGACCCGCTCCACACTACCATCTTGGACAGGTTCCTGTAGAATGACTCTGGTTGGGGATCCTATACATTAAGCATCTTTAAAGTGCCCATAATATAGGGTTCATTGTGTAGTTCAGAAGTGCCTACTGTTATCTTGTACCAGTACTGTAAAGAATGGATTATTGGGGCTTGAAGTAGAATGAAGAATGCATTCTCTAGACAGGTTGTATGATTATTATTGGAATACTATAAATATAGTATCAAAGATTAACTAAACAACAGAAATCAGCCAAATAAACGGGAACAAATCACTAAAACTTGTTTTCAAAAGAATCACTCAGTTCAGATAGAAGGAATAATGATTCTTTGCTTCGATGCAAAATCCTTTTTATCAATGTTACTAAAATGCAGATATTATGACACATTTTGGAAATAATTTTAACTAGAAGCACCCATTTTTGTTTACTGGAAACACCCAAAATAAGGAATATAGAATATGCTTTCCTAACATACTTCTGCAAACAATCATGACTAACAGCACAAAGAAGTTAACATGGACACAGTTGAAGAAGAGCTTTTATATCTTATAATTGGCAGTAAACAATTACAGGCAATATAATCTCATCGCCTCCACAAAAAAGGGAGGGGAAGAGATTTCAAAAGTAGCAAAAAATAAAAACAAATGTACACAAGTTATTATGCATCATGTCGTAGAAAAATTTAATTCTGTATTTTCTAACAATTTGAAAAGATCAGCTTTCCTTATGTGTTCCTGCGGTGCCCTCTTATCTCAATCACCACAAACGGGAAACATGTACGAGGACTATACTCACAAGTCACAACAGGGAACAATTAAATGGAAGTACCAAGATGTCAGCTGCTGAAGCTCAACATTTTCATCCATTTTGTTTTTCAGCGAATGCCAACTCCGAAACCAAAGCAATATGATCACTTCCCCATTTCTGATTAAAAAACCACATAAAAAAGGTATCACTATCAAATGCCTGTATAAAATTCTACCTGCAAGGCTGCAAGCAACTTCAGCAAAGTGAGACAAACACTATAAAGATAAAATTAAAAATTATTAGATCTGTTAAGCCTGTGTTATATGGAAACAGGGCAGACATACCCTACAAGCCCTGCAACTAAATTCTGGCTATTGAATGGTTCAGCTACCCCCCCCCCCCCCGCCCCCCACAAAAAAAAAAAAAAAAAAAAAGGGAAAGGAAAAGAAAAGAAAGAGACAAGCTGCCTGTTCCCCCACACCCCCCCCCCAAAAAAAAAGGAAAGGAAAAGAAAAGAAAAGAAAGAGACAAGCTGCCTGTTCATGTCCAATTGTCCACCAATCCATAATGATCTACCAAGATTCTTTTCGGGTGCATGATGGAAAAATTAGGAAGATCTTGACCTTCTTTTTGTAAGGTTTATTACTTGAAGATGGAAAATGGAGGGAAAATAATGGAGAAAATCCAAATTTGAAGAGCAAACTGAGAAGACACACAAATACATGATATATCTGCACTAGACTTATTCACTGAGCAACACAATTTAAGGATAAGAATTATTATTTTCATGTGTGCTATTACTGCTATACTAAATAACTAATGTTGGTCGCTTCTCATAAAATGAAGTCACACTACTCACTACTGGTTCAAACTTGAAGCACTAACCTAGCAGATTAGCCATTTCAGAGATTGAATATCAATTATCAAGATCAATTTATATCTGCAATTTTCATAAGCATGGTAAGAGCTATTTGGAATCAAATTGATCATATCCATCAATTAAGTGTCTGTTCTTTTCATCTGAAATCCACTATATTGAACAAATTGGAATCAACTGGCACAAACAAGAACTAATCATAGTTTTGAATGGAATTTGGGTAGCCCACATTGAAACATATCAGTACTTACTAGCAGCCTTATCTGACCTTTATTTTTTTGGAATAATATCATTTTAAGGTGAAAAGAACAGTACAAAATGAATATTGATAGAAATTTACCTTTGTTGGGAATCCCCCACTACGTTGCATTACATCTTTTCGAATTGGAGCAAGAGCTTTAGCGGTGTAAAGACCTTCAGATCGCCTGTATGCCACAGAAGCAAAATATCACTTGTACAGATTTAAATCTGTGAGCTGAAAATTGTGTTCGGAACAAGACGCAGCTCAAAAGGTGAGCGAATACTATCACACAATTCTTAGCAAGTCATTAATCAAACAATAGGACAAGCAAAGGAGCAGAAGTACAGCTCACCATATGTAATCAACAGTTCCCAGAAAACAAGTGTTATAACTAGTTACCAGTGGCTCCCCATTAGAGTCTCTTGTCCCAGAAGAATCCTAGAAAACCCAAACAGAGATCATTAAAAGGTGACCTCAGACAATATCATTAATACAGAGAACACAATAAGAGCAATTGTAGCAGCAGCTTAGTATGAATCTTAAACTTCTCAGGGTCTGGAGAGGGTAAGACGTGTTCAAACAAACACTAAATCAATCAGCCAATTATCAGGGTAAAAATTTCATGATTTTGGTTTAAAACGAAGGGTCAAAGAGCTACCTATGTCCGAATTCAAACAAACACTAAATTAATCAGCCACTTATCAGGGTAAAAATTTCATGATTTTGGTTTAAAACGAAGGGTCAAAGAGCTACCTATGTCCGAATGTTGAGAATCTGACACGAGTAGAGGTAGAAGAGTCCAAGTAACATAGAGTCAAGAGCATTAGGAGACTACATTTACGAGGTTAATATAATATTGCACAAAAGATATTTTATGTGCGAAAAATTTGGAATCCATTGAAAGCATAGAAAGAACATTATATATAGGTTTCTTATCAACCAAGGAAACAAGAAAATGAAGTGTTTAGTCAGCAGCATCACTTCATCAAGTGGAAGAAACAGACTCACTATACCATAGGTAGACTATCTTGACAAAAATATTTATCAACCAGTTCATAACTACCGTATAAGCCCAAGCTAGGACACATAAATTATTCCTGCCCATGGAACAACATGAAAGCAATCACATATACCACACCTTTTCCAGATCATGTCACATGTTCTTGTATTATAAATAAAGCCAAAAGCCTAAAATAAAACCTACCACCACTTCTGTGTACACGCTCCTGAGCTTTAAAGGGTGCTCAAGAATACGGCTGTTGGCATCCCCAGTAGCAGTAGCTATTTCCATTGTGGTCCACAGAGATGGATCATAATATGGTATATTCATATCAACTGTTTCAACCTCAGGGGCCAAATCACCTAAAATAGTAAAAACAGGTTATCAGAAGCTACCTTAAGTTAAAATTAACAATTAGTCTTCCACGAAGGAATTTACAATCTTACCAACACTTGATTGTTCCCCATCACCACCGTTGCTAAAATCAGACAAAGATTCCTCAAGATCTTTATGTAAATCTTCACCCTCAGAAATTTCACTAATCTCATCAAGTGATAGCTCATTAACCTTTTCAGTTATATCAAGGTTTGAAGCTGAAGGTTCATCTGATTGAGAAACGTTTGAGCTATAGTTGTTTCTAGTCTCTTTTTCCACAACATTCTTGTCAGAATTACCAGCAACAGAGGAAAATCTATCAGTATTGCCCATTAAGCTAAAGTCTTCAGAAATTGGAACTTCTTTAATTTCCTGCTCATTCAGTGGCAAACCAGAGAAAACAACATTTTCAGTTGAAAGCACTGAAGTAGAATCAGGACCTTTAAGAGTCTCATTGAGTAACTGATCAGCATTTTCATCTGAGCTTATATCAGTGTTTTTATCAAATGAGTTTGCGGGTACATTTTGCAAAGAATCAGCAGGAGGAGGTTGCTGCAGGCTAGCAGGTGTTTGAAGTTTGTTAGATAAGCTTTCAAATCCGTTCTTATTTTCAAGGGAATTACTCTGTTTTCCGTCAATACTCTTGTTCTCAACAGTTGCTGGACTAGCGACATTACCAGCCGGCTGTTCCCTAAGAAAATGGAAAAACATTACAAATCTATTACCAAAGAATAGAGTGCAAAATTGATTCAGCAGAATTTGAGGAGAGAAAAAAATAACCTAGGATAAGAACCATATTGTCTGGGAGGGGGACTAATTACAGCAGAGGCTTGTCCTGAAACCTTGTCTCTGTCCACTTCTGATATATCTAGCTGCCAAATCACAGATTTGATAGCTTAACAGACATTTATAGAGGGATGCTAGTCATTCCAAAGAATAAAAAGGTCCCAACTTTACCTTCTGCTGAGATATGAAGTTGTACAAGGGACTCTGTCAAAAGGAAGACACTTAGTTTTATTGATAAGTGCCCCAATTTAACTTGAGAACGGAGAAAGATAAGCTGTATACCATTGGAGTGCAATTGAAATCACCACATAAGACCACAGGAGCATCATCCCACGTCTTCGATACCGCTTGAGCCCTTTCAATAAGTATCCTCACCTACATACAACAACAAAAAGACTCCAATTAGCAAGGCAGCAAGGACAAGGACATTCTCCGTTTACATACACAATGGAGCGAGAAAGACCTGGTCCTTTTCACACACACACACACACACACGTGCCATAAACAAACAAATTTAGATAGCCATCAAGGAAACAGAGATGCATAGTTGAACACTTGTGCAATGAGATTAGCTTGTCATGAACGATTCCAATCAAGTGAGATAACAAGCAGAAGGAAGTACACACTATATATTTTAATTGGCCCTTTCTTTCTTTATTGTTTTTTATTCCCTATTTATAGTAGCAAAAGGGTGAAGAGGAAGCAAATCAGTTTTCTATACATCTACTACACAAGTAATATATATGCCGACAAACATTGCAATAATGCCTTCACCAAAACTCTTCATACTCATACAAAATTTTGTTGCACAAAGGACCTTTAAGGGTGAACTATCAACTAATTCCTGATACCTGTCCAAGCTTGATTTCTCCTCTTCTTGGATTGTAAAGCACGTGAATGTTACAAATGACGACTCTATTAGGGGATTCTGAGCTGCAGTGGTAAAATAAGATTTCATTTTTTAGAGAGCAAAGTAGCAACAAAGCATATTAATAATCGATAGCCAAGAAAAGAAAAAGGAAAGTAAATGTTACGAAAGACCCCTATTAGTTTTTCATGTAGATATACACCTCCAATAATTCACAACTAAATGTTTTGACATGATAACATAGCTAGTTACTATGCCTATCTTACAAAAGCTCAGTAAATAGAAAGATTAAAAAATTAAGGAAAACCTGATTCTAGTAATCCAACCTTTTGTCGGTTAAATGAAAATAATCTTACCTTTCAATAATAATCTAACCTTTAAGGGGTATTATCTTACAAAAAACCTTACCGGTAAAGTACCAATTGTAGGAGATCATTTATATACGTGTCACTTCTGATTGGTTTAAATTTTTTAATAATTAATTTTAAGATTTTTAATTTTTTAATTCTAAAAATTAAAATTAACAAAAAATAACAGCAGAAAACGAATGATATTTTTAAACAAGCATTACCTTGTTGATGATGCCATCTGAGTTCCATTCTGATTTGGACTTAATGACTGTAAAATAAATGAAAAGATTATTTAAAAACGCATTTTAACATGGGCATGCTGAACAAAATATTAAGGTTGACACTTCTTTTTTCCCTACATAACTTCGGAGAAGGAAGAAAGATTCAAGATCAGCAGCATACCTCTAGAACACAAATTTGAGCAACATTATCCCGCATTCCATGTTTATTATACTCAATGCACTCTTTATACATCAACCTGAACCTAAACCCATGAATTTCGAACAAATGTCACAAGATATCCCACTCAAAGACACATTTCTCTTGGCCAGAAACGCACGACATCAACATGAACAGCAAAAAATGTAGCAAATGGCATCATCACTTACAAGTTAAAGCATTAGGCTTTTAAAGACTCCTTACCTTGTTGTTCGCCAAAAAATAGCACACCCATCAATTGGATCACCAGTTCGCATCTGGTATATTTGGCAAATAATTAGGCCTCATCAGCATTTTCAACATACATCTGCATCAAACTTCAACCATTCCATGGAATTATACAAACAACAGTATTCAAGCCCCAGGGATCTACTTAAGCATAAAGAATAGCTTGACCCTTTGGAAACTAAGAATTAACACCGGCTCAAATCCGTACACAAGTGCTTAATATATGTAACTTAAAGTCTTAAACTTCTCCATGAACAGCAGCATAGGCACATCAATTGAAAGCAACATATTAGTTTCGGAAGCTTAGAAACTCAATAATGGACTAAATAGTTTATCCTCCTTGCCTCCTATAGTGCTTTAACACCATAAAAGGTAGCACAAAATTAAAAGGCAACATGCAGCAGAAGTTAATGCACCATTATTTTCCTAGAATAGTAAAAACCTAAGGAGCTAAGAATTATGATGTCAACTGTGTAATAGAAGTGCAGAGGAAAGTACAACATATTCTCTCTCTTAATTATTAGCCTATTCAAACAAATGATTTTTTTTTTTCCACAACCTTTCAAGTGAAGAATAAAACTGCGTGTCGAAACAACAAGGTATTTATTACCAGAAAATATCTCTCTTTCTTAATGATGATAAACTCAAAGAGAAAGCAAAAACAGCAATCAATAATCCATAAATCAATAATGATGTGCTTATGTTAACCACAACCTTCCAAATTCCGCTGTACCCATGACGCCCCAAGTCCTCCTCCAAGTCATGAAATTTGTCAACTTCCTGAAAATGGATCATAAGCTTCTCAGTCTCAAAGTTGAAAGCAATATGAATTAACAGTTATTAGGACTGCTGTATGGTGGTAGCTAGGAACAACAAAGTATCACATACCTAACATGGGGAAAAAAAAAGAAGGTATTTTTATAGAGTAAAACTAGCTATTGCATAAGGAAGCAAATTGACCAATAAGCCATGACACATGAAAAATAATAATATTAGACAGAATGAAACAAAGGGTAGATAATAAACAGCAGCAGACAGTCTCAAAGTTGAAAGCAATATGAATTAACAGTTATTAGGACTGCTGTATGGTGGTAGCTAGGAACAACAAAGTATCACATACCTAACATGGGGAAAAAAAAAGAAGGTATTTTTATAGAGTAAAACTAGCTATTGCATAAGGAAGCAAATTGACCAATAAGCCATGACACATGAAAAATAATAATATTAGACAGAATGAAACAAAGGGTAGATAATAAACAGCAGCAGAAAACAAAGATAGTACAAAGCAGTAGTATAAAGAGCAATGACAAACAGGAAGAAAAGTTTAAGCAGCTCAAATACAAACATGCGAATCAATTAAAAAAGGAAGCTCCTGTTGATCATAAAACACAATAGCTATAGCTTAGTAAATACAGAAGGGAAGGGACCTGAAAGCACATAATGTCAGGTGACCACAACTGAAGCTCAAAAAGTATCTTGCCCTTCCGCCACTCCCAATTCATAAAATAGCGTCGGATGTGAAAGTACAGCTTTCGATGGCTATTAGCAAGGTAATCAGCAAGTATATTATACGAGAGAACAACAAACCGTTCTGCAAAAACATAAATAAATTTAGGTCGGCTGTACTAACATTGATTCACAAACCATGCTGATGTTTCTAAGTCTTTTACAAGAAGCCCAAAGAACATAATGGCAATAAATACAAACTTTAATTACTTAAAGAATATGCTAAAATGGAAAAGAAGGCTGTCAATAACAAACTTCAACATCGAACTTCCAGAGAATGTTTTGTAAACATATCAAAGGTAGCCAAAGATCAGTATACGCAAAAAGTAGCGAGAAACAAGAAATGTGCAACCACTCTACTCATTTAGCTCTTCAAACATTTTCTAATCAATTATGCTCTATTCCAGACACCCACTCAATTAGTTTGCACAATTTATTAATTTATTCCAATGTTACACATTTGAAAGTTTTTCCCACTAGTAAAAATTGGTTTATCTAACTCCGGAACTAAGCAATACCACAATATTCTTATTTAACTCCCAAAATAATGTCAATAAAGAAAATTAAAAGGAACATAGGTGTACATAAAGCATTGGTACATATGAAATGAAAAATGTTGCAAATAAAAGAAACCAACGAAGTACTTTCTAGGCAAAGCTTTCAACTTCAAGCGCAATTCCCTTGTTCTTTCCCTCAACCAACACAAGGTGCCCTCGATACACCGAGTGTAACATGCAGATGCTACACCCCACACTCAATCGCTCACTACTTTGTTAATTGGGAATTTAGGAGAATGTAAGCAATCCAAACGAGTAAATGTGCAAAACATTAACCTCGGTCATATAGTACGCCCACATGTATAATCAACATTAACCTTGTACCAATACGCCATGTATAATCAAAATTGCTCCCCTCTTGTACCTTTTTTCTCTGTTATGGTTCTAATAATTATTACTGCCTCTGTTTCATATTAGTGGCAACTTTAGGGTATTAAATGTGACGTGTAAAATATTTCAAAGTTACAACTCATATGAAAGGAAGGTAGTAACAGTAATCTTTTGATTCAAACTCAAACAAAGCATTACCAAACCTTTAATTTTAAAATTTAATTAATAAAAAATTTAGCTTTGCAAACTTTTTTTTTACAAAATTCATAAATTCCCGCCATTCATTTCATCACAATTACCCTAATTACAAAAAAAGATGAACTACTAGTAATAACAATTAATATATGAATAATAGTGAAATTACCAGAATTAGGAGGGGGAGGAACCTTTGCCAGCTCCCAAACCCGATGATCATCCGGCTTCGGCCGCTGAACCCTAGCTCCCGATTGCTGATTATGCGGCCGATTAAACGACGGCGTTCTACCTCTATAGTTACCACCACCACCACGATTATTCGACGAAGAATTATAATCATAATAACAATTATTATAATTATTGCGATTGTAATTGTGATTGAAGCTATTAATTGGGCGAAAATCAGCACTTCGCTGAAAAGACGAGTTCGAGTCACGAACAGATTGAACATTAGCGTCGCCGGAGACGGCGGTCGGGTGGTCGGAAAAGTACCGGCGACCACGATCTCGACCACGACCTTGTCCTTGACTTCGGCCTCCTCTAAACTGCAATGGAGGAGAGAGAAAGTGAGATGGTGAAGAAGATGAGAGAGAAAGTAGGAGCCAGGAGGAGAGAGGAGAGAGAAAGTTGTACCGGAGGTCGGATGGCGGCGGACATGGCGGCGGCGGCGGAGGCGGTGGAGGTGAGTGGAGTGTTGACGATGGCGGTGGCGATACGGTGGAGAGAGAATGAAGAGGATTGTCGCATTTTACATCGTTGGTTAACTATATGAGATTTTTAATAGTTCATGCACTTATATTGTATAGTTTCAAGTTTCAACTCTTTCAGGTCATTTTACTCTCTTTCCAATTTATTTTAGGATTTTATTTTTCAATTTATGGAGTAAAAGATTTGTAGATGGTACATTGGTACATGTATATAATTTTGTTAAGAAAATGTCAAATGAAGTTCACATGAGTTTGGAGCACAATAGCTTATAGCTCATCACATGAGCTATATTTAGGACAATAATTTGTATATAAGTACAATTATGTAACATATTTTATGGGCAATATTTGCCTATAAATAAGTTCACTATCTTGTGAACTAGTAGAGTAAGAAGAAAAACCGACATTCTCTAATTACTCTTTTGCTCTCTTCCATCTACATCATCATAAAATATACAATATCATAGTTACCTCATAACACGTTATCAGCACCAGTTACTAGTCAGGTATATTTATACCTACTTCTCAAAATTATAACAAATAAATACTATCTACTTCTAAATGTTTTGAGGAGTATGCTCTATAGTTGCCCATATTTTGGGATCCTCTATACCAGAAACTCAAACATTTATTATATCATATATCTCAAAACAACGGTGAAAAATATCCTTACTTATGAATTTATTACTATCTTGCCTTGTTTTATTTATGTTGGTATCTTGGTTTATGTTTGATTCATACATGTTGATATTACATACTCACCTTCTATGTAAAATTTAATTTTAGTAATTATAATTAGTAGTAACTTTGCATGCATATTATTAACTAAATTGACAAAAAGATGCAGCCTTTTATACTTATTATTTTTCTTTCTTTTACGAACTTTTTGTGTTTCTTTCAGTTTTCGAACCCATGATCTTTTATAGATATTAGGGCTCTCGGACCACTATGGCTTGCATTCCCAGTGTGATAACCTTTTACAATTATAAATACTTATATTTGAATGATAATTTTTCCAGTACATTAAACCATTATATGATATTTTTACAATTGTACAAAACAGTAACAGATAAACCTACCTCTATAAAAGGTAGATTTTCCCCCGATTTTCACCACAAATCTCTTATCCTCTCTTTATCCAAAAATCACCCAAAAATTATTCACCCCTTCTTCTCCAATATGTTCCCCGACGGCGATCAAAACATCCAAAACACCCACACCTTCACCTTTGAGGAAGATTTAAAGAAAATAAAACAATATTTTCTCCTAATTACGGTGTTTGTAGTTCTGTTAGTAGCAATATTAATTTTTGTCATAATGTACAAGTGAAGTTTGTTTATTTTGTCGGTTAAAAGCATGTTTTGTTTTATTATGTTGTTTTGTTGTTTTAAATCATCATTGTATGATATTACCATTATTATTATAATTATTGTTACTGTTTCGGGGTTTTTTGATGTCCTGCGGGAGAGTTACAATTCCGGGACTGGTATCCTTGCGCATGTACCTGCAAAACAATGGAGACTCCTTGTGGTGGGAGCTCCGCCTCCAACGGTCAAGTTAGTACTTGTTTGAGGAGTAACAAATGCGGAAAGTAAAGGTGGGAGATCTGGTTCCTCTAGGGGAGGAGTGATCAATATGTTTAGACTTCTCTAGGTGAGATGATTCTCCTGTTTATGGAGGCTAATGACATGTTTATATAGCCTCGAAGTACGTGCCTAATACTAGGTTTTCTGGGAAAACCTAGGACTGATTGGACTTGCCTCGGGAATTGGGCATGCGATGGCCGTTTTCCAGGTTGGCGGATAATGGGCCACATGATGTGACCTGAATAGTCCATGTTGGACCTCTTAGGGTGACAAGTGGCGGACGCTGATTGGCCCACGTGGTGGACACGTGGCAGGTCTGGATTGGTCCATTTGTCATGGGTAATTTTACCCTAAACATTTGCCCCTCGGAAGGAGTTATTTCTCTTTCCAGGAGGGATTGCTCCTTTCGAAAGTTAGACCCTCGAAGCTTTGCTAGGTCGGCATCTTGTCTAGTTCTAATGGGAGATGGACTTGATTAACTTAGAAAATTTTGATGCTTTGGGCGGTATGACATTTTCAAAGTTAATCAATCATAATAATGATTGCCGCCGAACTAGACAGATGCCGATTCTTTGCCCTACTATGCAGATAGCCCCTGATCAGGTGGACTGTCAACTATTGCACAAGGGGTAAGCGTTTAGCATTATTCGGCCGTTGGCCTCTTTTGATTCAATATACTAAGTTTGGTACTTAGTTTATTTCGTTGGGGGATGGCTGGTCGTCTGCTTTGGTGGCTGCATAGAAGCAGGCGTCAGACAGGACGTCCAACCAAGGTAGCTATGCCTGTTGGGTTACAGACGACAGCTTTAAGTATAGCCAACCTAGTAAGAATAGTGGTCGAGTACCTCTGTTTACCAAAAAACAGGCGGACTCCTCATACCTTTTAGGTTCCGTACTAAGGAGGGCGACTGGTTAACCTTGCGGTTAGTCAATCACTGCCTATTTTGTTTGAGTGGTAGGGAAACCAGGCGGCGGGGGCCGGATAGTCCCCTTAATTCGCCAAGTTTTTCTTGGCTATTAACTCAAAGGTTGTTAACCTAGCAGGAGTAGTGGTTGAGAGCCCCTGTTTGCTAAAAACAGGCGGGCGACTCATACCTTTTAGGCTCCATACTAAGTTTGAGAGAGTGACTATAAGTTAACATGGGAGTTACTCAGTCTCCGTCACACTCTAGCTTGAGTAGTAGAGGTACCAGGCGGCGGAGGCCGGCTGATCCCCTTGATTCGCCAATGTTTGTTGGCGATTAACCCAAGGAGTGGTTACCTAGTAGGAATAGGGGTTTGAGTGCCCCTGTTTGCCAAAAAACAGGCGGTCTACTCAAACCTTTTAGGTTCCATACCAAGTTTGAGGGAGTGCCTATGAGTTGACTTTGGTGTTACTCAGTTGTCGTCACTCCTGCTTGAGTAGTAAAGGTACCAGGCGGCGGAGGCCGGCCGAACCTTTTGATTCGCCAATGTTTGTTGGATATTAACTCAAGAGGTACCCCCTGCATTTATCCCAAGTAATACAGGGGGTCATCCGACTCAGATGTCAACTGCTACCACTGGTTTGGTTAGTGATAGAGTTATCCTTGTCTCAAAAACGGCTACGTGGTTGCCCTTGGGGACAGTCGTATAGGTGTCGTGTAATTAGTTTATAGAGCAATGTTCCACCCAAAAGGGAGCTGCTCTCTACGACGAATTTCATCCGGAGGGATGCCGTCGGACGCCTGCTATGATGTTGGGACAGGTCGTATTAGTTTAAAGATTGGATCAGTTGGCTTGGCGCCTGGACTGATCATTCGGCTTGTGGCCTTGGATAGTTCTTGGTGAACGTAGGTGCTAAGTAAGAGGAGGGTAGCCGCCTGTTTAGGCACAGGGTCGGCCAGGCCCTGATCATTTTTTAGCTAAGTATAGGAGGGTGGCCGTTTGTTTTGGAACCAGTCGGCCATCTTCTATGGAGAGTAGCCGATTGTATGTCCAGACGGCATGCCCCTCTGGTGATAGAGTAAAATAATCAAAGTAGAGAGTAGCCGACTATATAGGTACTGCGGCATGCCCCTCTGATCATAGATTGAAATACTCAATGGAGAGTAGCCGACTGTAAAGGTACAGGCGGCATGCCCCTCTGAATTAGTATTAAGTATTGAAATAATTTCAAGTGTTAGAGTAGATAGATCACTTAGCTCCCTTCCATGGAGGATTGATGACTCTACTTTCTTCAAATGGGGACAGGTGGTCGTGCTAAACTTGTTTTAATGTAGTTTGCGACCTCGCTGCTCGGCCCACACATTTGCCGCCGGTCTTTAGCCCCTTAGTGAAATTAATGAGGGTTGACTGCTTTCATAGCTACGAGACTTCGTCGTATAGGGGGGGCGACTACTATTCATGCCGCCTCTCTTGCTTGATAGACTTAGGCAATATTTTTTGAGGGGATCTTATGCTTTTGTTTTATTCTCATGCATGAGAATGAGAATAATGATGCTGTTAGGCGGCTCCCTCCCTTTATATATATATATATATATATATATATATATATATATATATATATATATATATATATATATATATATATATATTTTCTCTCTTTTTTTCTTTTCTTTTTTTTTTTAATAATCATAATAATGATTATCATAATGATAAAGCAAGCCCCTATTCGGTATGCCGCTTGCTTTCATTTGGCAAGGCATCCAAGACATTCAGCTTAAAAACCAAGATGATGATGATGATGATGATGACGCTTGCTATGATTACAATCACAAACCTATGACGGCTGCTATCACCAAAGGTCGGCTTGTGTTGAGCTGCCGCCTGCTAGCTTATTGGCGAGGGCCGAGGAAGGTGTTTTCATCAATGCCCAATGTCGAATTGCTGGCTACTCAAGCTCGAGCTATTAGATATTGATTGATTTTGCTGGGCATCCGGCCACTCATTGCCGGCTGATAATGCCAGTTGGACTTAGCATGATAATTGAACTTAGCATGATAATTGGACGAATGGATAGCTTAGCATGAACTTAGCATGTACTCGTATCCATGATGGACGAATGTTTTGTAATTGGCTGACCAAGGATAGGTATTACTCTCACAAGAAAGTTTTGGGTGTCCATGGGTGGCAAGCATCTCCTACTCACCCAACCGACTTGGCATTGTAGCTAGGCCTCAATACGCAAGCCTGTCTACGCAAGCATGCACCATATGGCTCTGTTGAAACGACTGTAGACGATGGCCTTTGGACTATGTTCTCACAGCCGGCTGTTATGTTGCGTTTCATGTGCCGCCTCTTTTAACATGGCTGGCTGCTTTGGTTGCAAGTGACGCCTGCTAGCTTGAGCTACGATACTTCGATGCCGGTTTATTGTTTTAGAGATGGCAGACCGAATGCTCTTGTGCCAATTCCAGCTGCTAATAATTGGCAAGAACGTTAGCAGATGGTCATTCAACAAGTGCTGGCTGTTTTAATGATTTGCTCTGATTTGTACCCAATGTCACTGATATCAAAGGAGAGCATAGCACCCATAGCTTCTTGATTACTTGGTTGCCGCCTACTTTACCTTAGCGTGGTCAGAGGCGGTATTTCCTTTTGCTTGGACACTAGGTGCCTCATGATCAAGCTTGAACGCTAAGTCGCTTCTACACTCAAGTGGACAGTGGCTCGGTTTCTTCTACACTCATTTGCATCAAGTATACTTGGTACCATAATTTTGAGCCAAAACCATGCGACTGTACCATGATAAAACATCATATAGAGCCGGCTGGTCTTATCACGATAGCAAAGATCATAGATGCTCGCATGCCGGGGCCGTTTTTGAACCTCAAGTAAACCGAGCACAATGGTTTTTTGGGTATGGTCGGCTGTAATCTTGAGGAGCACTTGTGATTGTGTAATTATTCACGGCGTTCTTGCTTTAAATACATATAGCCGGGTTTTCAAGGCTACCCTCGACGAGCACCGGCTGTTTGGCTGACCGAATGCCGACTAACTCTATAATGCCGCCTGCTCTCAAATGTTGAGAGTGCCGGATGTTTAATCAAGAGCTAACTAATGTTGCGTAGAGATGGCCGGCTGACTTGCTTGTTATGCTTTATTTAACAAAATTCGAAGAGTGCTCTGTTTTCATGGAGTTGAAAATTTATTGCCTCGAACTCGGCATTTGGTTGCTTATTTATAAAATACTTGTGCCGGCTTCGTGGCTGGTACTAGGCCGGCTGCCGTTTGCTTTCTTGAGGGAAAACTTAGGTGCCGCCTACTCTAGCAAGGGCTCCAATGCTCAGCTTCTTAACAACCGCTTCAAGCATGGATGGTATCTTTGTATTATATACCGCTTGATATTTGTATAGTATATACTATATTGTATAATGTATACTTGGGTAAAGTGGTTCATAAAAGGCCGGCATTTTCTCTTGATAAACCTTGTTAGTTTTGAAGTAGGAGCCATTAAGACCTTGTTTGCAAGATTTCAACAGCGAGGAGCCGATTGCTTAGCGCCTTATGCTTATGAATGTAAGTAGTGCCCTGTAAAGAATAACTCACAAAAATAGTCATACTCCAGCTGGCCATTTTATGCTTTAAGCTAGTTGTCAATAACTTGGTATGGAAGTAGCCATGTGTTGCCAGGTCATTAACAAATTAGTGTACATGGCATGTTCATGCAAAGCAAATAATGCTTTGTCAATAATGCTCGGCACTCCGAGCCATTCGGCATATTAAAAACCCCCCTTTTTTTTCTTTTTCTTTTTTAAAAAAAAATAAGTGGGGGACGACTCATACAAGCTTATGCAAGTGATATGCATATCATTTGTATGTATATTGCACGTGTATAAGTGTGCATGCAAATTGATGCAATGTTTGCCAGCAACATATATGTGCCATTCATATATATATATATATATATATATATATATATATATATATATATATATATATCAAAATCATAATAATGATTTGGCAACACCAATTCTGAACAGTCGGTCATCCGACGCTTGCAATACTTGACTGCTTGGCCGAATGCAGAGAAGCTGGTATTTTGCCGGTTGTACCCAGTGAGTGTCATGCTAGGCACATGTAACTTCAACTGGGAGTGGTTTGATTTGGCCGACTGTTCCTTTGCAGGAACAAGCGCCCTTTGGTTGATCAAGTCTTGGATCTCCCCCTTGAAACTACTCATGAGGGTCATGAGTTCATTCCTGGTGATAGGGGCAGATCCCTCGGCCGCCTGTTGATGATTAGGCGGCGGGCCGACTGGTTTACTAGATTCAGCCAGGCAGTCTCCCCATTCCTTCCTTTCGATGGGACGGGTGCGTCGAGCTCTGAGGGACCCGTCAGGGGCCGTGTGAGTCTCGACTTCATATTCTTTGTCGGAATCCTGGTTTGACTGGACCAGGGGGTCTTCCATGGGACGCTTCTCACTTAGAATCGGTACAGACTGTGATACCATCTCGAAAGTACTCTCCCCACAGACGGCGTCAAAATGTTTCGGGGTTTTTTGATGTCCTGCGGGAGAGTTACAATTCCGGGACTGGTATCCTTGCGCCTGTACCTATTGAGATACTGTGATCATCCAGTCACCGATGAACAAATGATTGAAAAAACACTCACTACCTTTCATGCAAGCAACATACTGTTGCAAGAACAATATCGTGAAAGAGGTTTTAAGAATTTTAATGAATTAATGAGTGTATTGCTTGTTGCGGAACAAAATAGCGATCTTTTGTTGAAAAATCACAATCTCAGACCAACTGGGTCTTTGGCCACTCATCATGAGGCAAATGCAACAAGTTCTTATCCACTCGAGGCAAATGCTACACGAAGAGGTGGACGTGGAAATTACAATGGCCGTGGAAAAGGTCGTGGAAATTATCGCGGACGAGGCCGAGGACGTGGTAGAAACAATTTTCAAAGAAACAGTAATTTCAAAAAATTTGAAAAACAGAAGGGACAGTCATCTGGAAGCCACAAACAAACTCTTTCAAAAGGAAAAGACACATGTTACAGATGTGGCATGACAGGACATTGGGGACGTACTTGTCGTACGGCCAAACATTTGGTAGACCTTTACCAGGCTTCTGTAAAAGGCAAAGAGAAAAATGCAGAAGCAAATTATGTTAATGAAGAAAATGCTCCATGTCCTACCCTTGATGTGTCCGATTTCTTCATGGACAATGCTGAAACTGGGAATGATTTCATCTTTGGAGAAAATAACAATGCTTAATTAACCCATCTACTGATGTAATATATACTACGTTTTAATGAATTTTCTGATATGTATTTTAAATGATTAGTCATGTACTCTTAATTTCTATCATAAATAAAAGTTTGTATGATATTATTCTAAACTAATCTCATATTTATTTTATGAAGATATGGATATACCCGAAGTTGGTTCCGAATATCATTGCCTTTTGGACAGTGGAACAACACACACTATCTTAAAGGATAGGAAATATTTTTCACAACTAAAGTTGTTTCAGGAAAATGTAAACACTATCTCCGGGTCAGCAAAATTAATTGAAGAATCTGGAAAGGCTTGTATAATGCTTCCAAATGGAACAAAATTGATGATCAATAATGCTTTATACTCGAGTAAATCTCGAAGAAATCTCATAAGTTTCAAAGATGTGCGCCAAAATGGCTATCATTTAGAAACAATGACAACGGGTCAAAAGGAGTATTTATGCCTTACGGCAGGAAAATATGGCAAGAAACACATTTATGAGAAATTGCCAGCATACTCTTCGGGGTTATACCGTATAAACATACAACCCGTGGAAATCAATATGATATCTAACCAGAAGTTAGATGACAAACATTTGATTATTTTATGGCATGATCGTTTGGGACATCCAGCAACTTGGATGATGCAAAGAATAATAGCGAATTCAATTGGACATACAATAAGGAATGCCAAAATTCCTCGATCGGATGAATTAACATGCTCTACATGTTCACTTGGCAAATTAATAATAAGACCATCCATGAACAAAATTGCTATTGAATCTCCAAAATTCTTAGAAAGAATTCAGGGAGATATTTGTGGGCCAATTAATCCGGCATGTGGACCATTTCGATATTTTATGGTTTTAATTGATGCTTCCACACGATGGTCACATGTCAGTCTGCTTTCAAGCAGAAATGTTGCTTTTGCAAAATTACTTGCCCAAATTATCAAATTAAGAGCACAATTCCCAGATCATACAATAAAGAAAATAAGGCTCGATAATGCTGGGGAATTTACATCCCAAACATTTAATGATTATTGTATGTCAATTGGAATTGATGTTGAACATCCAGTAGCTCATGTCCATACACAAAATGGTCTAGCTGAATCACTAATTAAGAGATTACAATTGATTGCAAGACCATTATTAATGAGATCAAAATTGCCATCATCTGCTTGGGGACATGCTATAATACATGCAGCAGCACTAATTAGATTGAGACCTACAACTTATCATAAATTCTCACCACTACAACTTGTTTGTGGTAGAGAACCAAGTATCTCACATCTAAAAATCTTTGGTTGTGTTGTATATGTTCCTATTGCTCCACCCCAACGAACAAAAATGGGTCCACAAAGAAGGCTGGGAATTTATGTCGGGTTTGAATCCCCATCTATAATTAAATATCTTGAACCATTGACTGGTGACTTATTTACGACTAGATTTGCCGACTGTCACTTTAATGAAACAGTATTCCCAGCCTTAGAGGGAGAGAAAGTGGACCCACACAAGAAAGAAATAGAACTTATTTGGAATGCAACACAATTGTTGATGTTAGACCCACGAACAAATATGTGTGAACAAGAAGTTAAGAAAATTGTTCATTTACAAAGTGTTGCAAATTAATTGCCTGATGCATTTGTAGACACAAAGAAGGTGACAAAATCACATATACCAGCAGAAAATGCCCCTGCACGTATTGAAATCCCAACTGGTAATAAGGCCATAGAAAATGAATCTCAGGAACGCAGAAAGCGTGGAAGACCACTTGGTTCAAAAGATTCTAAGCCAAGAAAATTGAAAAGATTGGATGGAATAGAAAATGAGACTAATAATGTTCCCCCGTCAGAAGGTCAAGAAAGACCAAATGTGGATGAAAGTAAAGAAAATGATGATAATCCAAAAGGGGACGAACAAGAAGACAACCCTACGGGAAATGAACAAGACGTTCAAAACGTCGATAACAATGAAATTTCAATGAATTACGTCTCTACCAAGACTCATTGGAATAGGAAAGATGTTATCGTGGATGAAATATTTGCAAATTCCATCGCAATCGACATTGTGTCTGATGAAAATGATGTTGAACCAAGGACAGTGGAAGAATGCCGACACAGGAGTGATTGGCCAAAGTGGAAGGAGGCAATGCTGGCCGAGTTGAAGTCACTTGAAAAACGAGAAGTTTTTGGAAAAATGACCCTTACACCAGCAGGTATAAAACCCGTTGGATACAAATGGGTATTTGTGAGAAAACGTAATGAGAAAAATGAAATAGTTAGATACAAGGCAAGACTTGTAGCCCAAGGATTTTCTCAAATTCCAGGGATTGATTATGAAGAAACATATTCTCCAGTGGTTGATGCAACTACATTAAGATTTCTGGTAAGTTTGACAGTCACAAAAGGACTGCAAATGCGATTAATGGATGTAGTGACTGCGTATTTGTATGGGTCACTCGATACGGACATTTACATGAAAGTCCCCGAAGGACTAAAACTACCAGAAAACCACAAGCCTAGACAACTGCTTTCCATAAAACTAAAAAGGTCACTTTATGGATTGAAACAATCTGGAAGGATGTGGTACAACCGTCTGAGCGAATACCTTATGAGAGAAGGATTAAAAAACAACCAAGTTAGTCCCTGTGTTTTCATAAAGCGATCACAATCAGGATTCGCTATCATTGCAGTTTATGTTGATGATTTAAATATCATCAGAACCCCAAATGAACTCGAGAAAACTGCAAAATACTTGATGAAAGAATTTGAGATGAAAGACCTTGGGAAAACTAAATTTTGCCTTGGACTACAAATTGAGCACTTGAGTCATGGCATTTTTGTCCATCAATCAAACTATACAGAAAGAGTTTTGAAACGTTTCTTCATGGACAAAGCAACCCTAACCAACTTCCCAATGGTTGTTCGTTCTTTGAATATGAAAAATGATCCATTCAGACCCCGAGAAGAAAATGAAGAGATTCTGGGTTCAGAAGTACCATACTTAAGTGCAATTGGAGCCTTAATGTACTTAGCTAACAGTACTAGACCCGACATAGCTTTCTCTGTGAATTTGTTAGCCAGGCACAACAATGCACCAACATATAGGCATTGGAAGGGAGTTCGACACTTACTCTGGTACCTACGAGGGACACAAGACCTTGGTTTATATTACCAACCAAAACAAGATGCTGCTCTCATTGGGTATGCAGACACTGGATACTTATCAGATCCTCAAAATGCCAAGTCACAAAATGGATATGTATTCACTTATGGCGGCACTGCAATATCACGGAAATCAACAAAGCAGACATTGACCGCGACATCATCAAATCATGCAGAGTTGATAGCCCTCTATGAAGCAGGACGGGAATGTGTGTGGCTGAGGTCGATGATCAGTAATATCCAAAAGGAGTGTGGAATGAACGCAATAACAGAATACCCAACCATCATCTTTGAAGACAATACAACATGTATCGCTCAAGTAACTGAAGGATATATTAAGGGAGATAAAACGAAACATATTGCCCCAAAACTGTTCTTCACACATGATCTGCAAAAGGACGAGGGAATAAATATCCAGCAAATTCAGTCTTGTGAAAATCTTGCCGACCTTTTCACCAAATCACTTCCTTCCAAGAAATTTGAGCAATTGGTTCACAAAATTGGAATGCGACATCTTCGTGATCTATGCTGAAATCAGGAGGAGTATTATATGCACTGCACTCTTTTTCCCTTCGATCAGGTTTTTATCCCACTGGGTTTTTCCTGACAAGGTTTTTAACGAGGCAGTATATCAAAGCATATTATATTTTTCTTTGAAGCAACCCATACTCCATTTCATGCGAACTTCAAGGAGGAGTGTTAAGAAAATGTCAAATGAAGTTCACATGAGTTTGGAGCACAATAGCTTATAGCTCATCACATGAGCTATATTTAGGACAATAATTTGTATATAAGTACAATTATGTAACATACTTTATGGGTAATATTTGCCTATAAATAAGTTCACTATCTTGTGAACTAGTAGAGTAAGAAGAAAAACCGACATTCTCTAATTGCTCTTTTGCTCTCTTCCATCTACATCATCGTAAAATATACAATATCATAATTACCTCTTAACAAATTTTTTTTTTTTAATATGCAGATTTGCGATTAGATTATACACTCGAGAGCATGATGCGCATTATACTCCGAAAGAGGTGGTGGAGATGATAATTCATTAATTTGTTAATAATTATGTGTTTCTTTGATTTGAATTGGATGTAATTTTGAGTGTAGGATATGCATCATGCACTTGCGTGTCCGATCTGATTTGCGTATGTTGTAAATTTGATCACTCAATATTTATTGTTAGCGATTAAAGCATTGCCTTATATGAGTACTTTGTATGAAATATGATAGTATTTGCCAATACTTGCCTTGGCCATAAACATGGTAAGGTCAGGTATACTGTATACATAGCTCTAAAGAGAGGTGAAATGTAAGTGTTAAAAGTCATAACCATATTCTAGTGTCTATATCTCCTTTAGTCCTAATGCTACTACTTCATTTACAAGACAATGTTTCAACTCTCAACGCATTACTCCAAAACCATGTCTTCAGGAATCAGGACTCTTCACCATGGCATCACTTTTACAAACTTAGGCTTTCTCTAGTACTCCATGCATCAACTATCTTCATAAAAGAAATGAATTCTGTCAAATGCATTTCTAATCTTTTAACTATCATCGCCTCATCAAATGCATCAACAACTACGTAAAAGGTAGCATGTAAAAAGGCCTGTTGCACTCATAATTTCTGAGGGCTTCCACAATAAACCAACTTACTACTTCATTTTAAGACTAAATGGAACAGGAGCTTGATTTCAAAGCTCAAAAACAGAACAAAAGCTGAAGAGCTTAAGTTTGAAGCTCGAAAAGACTTTCAAGGCAAGCCTCTAATAACGGCTTAGTATTGAATTTAAAGAATCTACTTATTTAAGCCTTCGGAATCCT